CCCCCCCGTTTTACTGAGATACTGACATATAACACTATGAGTTTAAGGTGTCCAATGACTTAACATATATGTTATGTATACATTGTGAAGTGACTACTGCACTGCAATAAGTTTAGTTAAAATCCATCACCTCAGTTGCAAACTTTTCTCCTGGTGATGTGATCTGTTAGGATCTACTCTCTCAGCACTGTTCAAATATAACGAGTATTGTTTACTATCGTCTCCATGCTGTACGTTACATTCCCAAATCTTACTTATAACTGGAGTCTGTGACTCTGACCCCCTGCCTCTGACAGCTCCCCATCAGTCCTGTTCCTATGAGTTCAGGCTTTTCAGATTTCACATGTAAGCGGTGCCCCGCAGTACTGGTCTTTCTCTGTCTGACTTATTTCACTTAGCACAATGCCATGAAGTTCCACCCATAATGTAGCAAAAGGGGCAGGATTGCCTCCTTTCAGTGGATGAGTAACATTCTGAGATTCTACACAGACACCACATTTTCTGTACCCCTTCACCAGCGGACTGTGAATAATACTGCGACACATACGGGGGTAGCGATTTTGTTTCCTTAGGATAAATACCCAGGAGTGGCACTGCTGAATCTTACGGTGGTTCCCTTTTTAATTCTAGGAGGAACTTCCCTACATTTCCCACAGGGGCTGCACCAATTTACATCCCCACCAAGTGCACAAGGGCCCCCCTTTCTCCACACCCTCACCAACACCCTCTCTCTCCCTCGTCTTTTTTATGACAACCATTCTAACCAGTGTGAAGTGATATCTCATTGTGGTTTTAATTTGCATTTCCCTGGATGACTAGTGGTGTTGAGCATCTTTTCACGCACCCGGAGGCTATCTGTATGACTTCTTTGAAACAATGTCTATTTGGTTCATCTGCTCATTTTTAATCAGATTGTTTGGGGTTCATTTTGGCTTCGAGTTATGAGTTCTTTAGATACATGATCTGCAAATATTTTCTCCATTTAGTACGTTTGCCTTTTCATTTTGTTGATGGTTTCTCCTTTGCTCTGTTGAAGGCTTTTTAGTTTGCTATAGTCCTGCTTGTTGTTTGTTTTCTTGGCCTTTGCTTTTGGGGTCAGATCCAATAAATCATCACCAGGACAGATGTTAAGAAGCTTACCTGCCTATGTTTTCTTCTAGGGATTTTATGGTTTCTAGTCTTACATTCAAGTCTTTAATTCATTTCGAGTACCTTTTGGTTTATGGTGTAAGACGGTGGCCCATTTAATTCTTTGCATGTGGCCTTTTAGCTTTCCCATCACCATTTATTGAAGAGACCTACCCTTTTCCATTGCATATTACTGGCCCTTTTGTTATAGATCGTCCATACGTGTGGATTTATTTCTGGACTCTCTGTTCTGTTCCACTGATTTGTGTGTCTGTTTTTACGCCAAAAGCATACTGTTTTGACTCCTATAGCTCTGCAATGTAGTTTGAAATCAGGAAGCACGATGCCTCCAACTTTGTTCTTTTTGTCTTAAAACTGTTTTGGCTACTGGGGGTCTTTTGTGGTTCCAGACAAATTTTAGTATTTCCCCCCCATTTCTGTGAAAAATGCCCATTGGAATTTTGATAGGGATTGAACCGAATTTATAAATTGTTCTGGGTAGTATGGACATGTTAGCAATATTTATTCTTCTAGAAAATTAAAACTCAGGTTTGACAAAGCTTGTTGTAGAGAATTTACCTAGAGGTGTGTNACTGTTTTGGCTACTGGGGGTCTTTTGTGGTTCCAGACAAATTTTAGTATATCCCCCCCATTTCTGTGAAAAATACCCATTGGAATTTTGATAGGGATTGAACAGAATTTATAAATTGTTCTGGGTAGGATGGACATTTTAGCAATATTTATTCTTCTAGAAAATTAAAATTCAGGTTTGACAAAACTTGTGGTAGACAATTAACTTACCTAGAGGCGTCCATGTGAGAAATGAGTTTATGTAGAGTTATAATTCAGATCTACATACCTTGTCCACTCAAAGTCCTCTGCATTGAAGATATTTTTGAGTAGTAAATCTCTCACTATATCTCTGCAGTGAACGTAAATCGTAACCAAGGCCCCTAGCACAATTTTGGTTCGAGAGTTACTAGAATCCAGCACCACCAGCTCTGCAACCTCTTCTAGATGACATATTATACCAGCGTGGACCTTTTCCAGCTCTTCTCTTGAGTGAGAGCTCGCAAAACTTTTGNCTTCTCTTGAGTGAGAGCTTGCAAAACTTTTGACACACTCATTATAAAATATGATCTGGCTCTGAAAAAGTAAAATATAAATACGACTGCTGAAGCGTACATTTTAGAAATGAAAACAAATGTTTCCAAGAAGCGTATGTGTGGCGTGTGTGTACATGAGAGTACACGTGCGTGTGTGTAAAACAGGGAGCTTGCCCCTTTGTACGGGNGCGTGGACCTTTTCCAGCTCTTCTCTTGAGTGAGAGCTCGCAAAACTTTTGACACACTCATTATAAAATATGATCTGGCTCTGAAAAAGTAAAATATAAACACGACTGCTGAAGCATACATTTTAGAAATGAAAACAAATGTTTCCAAGAAGCGTATGTGTGGCGTGTGTGTACATGAGAGTACACGTGCGTGTGTGTAAAACAGGGAGCTTGCCCCTTTGTACGGGTTTGAGAGTCTGAACTGGAGAAAGGAACGCAGCCCTGCTGACGCCCTGATTTCGGCCCAGTGAGACCTGCGTTGTCCTTCCACCCTACAAACTAACTGTAGGGCAATAAATCATGTTGTTTTAAAGCGGCTACATTTGTAGTAGCTTATAAATGAAAGCAGTAGACAACTAACACAGCACAATATAGCGATATCTCTCGGAAAATAATGCCTAGCTTTACTCATCATTTTATTATGAAAATTTTGAACTGGAAAAGCTGAAGGAATTCATTGTAAAATGAATACCTATATACTCACCACCGAGAGTCCACGATTAACTTTTTGCTCTACGGGCACTTTGTCCCATCTCTAGCTATCTATCCGTCCATCTGTCCATCTTACTTCTTGACATATTTCAAAGTAAGCTGCATCCATGAGTACCCTTCATAGTGGCTTATTTCTAAATCTCTTTCCTGGCAGGGCAGCCACCGTTAAATGCGTCCATATGAGCGCAGCATCGACTTACCACGGTGAGTACCACTTGTCCTGGGTGCGATACCACCCACAGGGGAAAAGGCTGGTGGTGCCAGTCTTCAATCCCTTGGTTTACAAATCTGTAAACAAAAAAATTAGTTATATTATTTATATCTCATCATGTTCTATCAAAACATGACACGACGGGATTTTACTCCATGCATTTCTCGGTCTAGTTCCCACTTAGATCAGTAGCTAATTGACCAGGTTTGAACATACGCATAATAATTTTAGGATGTGACCACTGTACTCACTTTTTCAGCACATCATACATGCTTTTCTCTACATTTACCAGCCACTGTTCTACAGCATTTCGTACATGAATTTTCCTGTAATTTAATAATAATAATGAATTATTTTTATTCCTGATTCATTCCTTTGATAAGCCCATAGACTAAGCTTCCTACACTTACACTGTTCACAGGCCAAGGGATTCTAATTCTATAACATCCTTTGTTTTTTTCTAGATCTCAGTTTGGGGAAAACTGCAAATAGCATATCACATAGCTTCGGGGAATTCTGACATCAAAACCACACATTTACAGAATTAAGAGTGCCAGGAAATATGAATTTATGAAATAGACTGATTATATTAAGAAGCATTTGGGATTCTCGCTGGATCTTTGAAACGGTAAGCCCAGGTCAGGGGCCACTTAGAGGTTTTGGTGGACGGCGAGAGCTGGGCACAGCATTTTTAAAATCAGCTCACATCGGGAGCCGCATGCCAAAGTCAGCGGGCCCTTGCCAGGGCTGGTGAACTGGACCAGTGTAAGGGAAGGGCCCAGCCTGCTGGTATTGCTGGGGGCCACTCAGGGCAAAGCCAGAGGTCCCAGGAGCATCCGTGGGAGCAGCACCAGCCACCCCAAGCAAATTTCCTTCCCCATCAAACAATAAAACCTTGTGTTCATGGAAAAGTCCAATTCCACACAAGTATATCATTTCTGAAGAAACCGTTTGCTTAGCAAATGTCTATGATACGCCAGAAATTTCCAGGCAGAGGTTCTAAGTAAAGCTTTACGGAGTCTAAGCGTTTGGCTTGCAGCACAAATATCATACTTTGGCATCACAAGGGTTTCTCCTTCGTTCGATACGAGCATTATCACAGCAGGAGGGCCGATTTCCTGTTTCCATATCAACAACTGTTTTATGTTTTCAAAACATTTCACGAGGTGAGGCTGCGGACCGGAAACAAAGGTGGGCAACACTGTCAAAGCCCGAGTGGCCGGGGACGGGTGCTGCCGAGCGGGGGACAAGGGCGTTACCTGGACGGACTCGGGGTCTTCGCTCTCGGCTAGAATAGCAAGCAGCTCCTCGTTGCTCAGGAAGTAAAATCGTGGGAAAATCATTCTTTTAATTTCAAGGTAGTCCTGTCCGGAACCAAGAGAAGTGCAGCTCAGGATGTGTTTCATCGCGACAGGCGTCACATCCTCCGTGGGGCCTACGTGTGCACACAAGAGCCACACGCGGGGAACTCTGGAGGAGCCACCCAGCCACCGAGACGTGTGTTCCACCCGGGAAAGGAACGAAGGTTCGGAAAACACCTTGGTTTATAAAGGGGAGTGACTGTGTTCGCCACAAATCTCAAATACGAAAACCCAGTATTTGAAGACATCTGTGTCTAGCTGGCAATCGCATGATCTGGCAGTGTAAAAATTTATGGAATCAGTAATTTATAAAACCATCGAAGTGTTCAATTTCAACTTTTGCTGATTTTATAACTTAATAATAATAGAGCTAACAGAAGTAACATTCATCGGGTCCTTCCTGTGGGCGAGCTCTCCTGCTTTCAACACATGATCTCATTTAGCGCGAAGCCCCTCGCGGTGGGCACCATCGTTAATCCCAATTTACAGAAAAGGAAAGCCAGGCAGGCGCTTAAAAGGTCACTTAGATTGGCCCATGCACCTCTCTTCCCTCTCAGCAGTATTCTCAGTACCCCACAGGCAGTGAGTCTGAAATGCTGCCGGCAGCCCGAGGGAAGAAAAACCACATTTCGGTGGTTTCTGCGGTGCATGGATGACATGGCTCCCCACTTCAGGGCTCCTGTAGCTTTACCTCCAGACTTTTCTTTATATATTCAAGAGACGCGTTGCAATTCTGCAGAGTTTCCAGAATCCCCGCAGAGGTGGCTACTTGCAAAGCATCCAGTCTGTTTTGGATTTTAAACATGATTTCCCTCCAACTGCCAATCACTTGAGAAAAGAGTTTCGCTTCTGCTGGGAGCTGCCTTTAGAAAGAAAATTAGAGGTACTTTTGTTTTTCGAAGGTACTGTAATTAAAATCTATCATCTACGGAATATTGTCCAATTCACCGACTGTCTCGATGTGCTGTATGTATTTTTGCTGATTGAACGTTAAGATGTTTCTGAGTCTCTTATGTACAAGTGATGTACATGGTAGGAAATACTATGATCAACTGGACACCCACCCATCACTTAAAAGCCCTATTTTCAACCTCACAGTAAATCCCGTAAAAGATCAACCTGGTGACATCCTGAACCCCCTGACCTAGGAGTCTTCTCTCTCCAGGAATTAAGAAATGTTCAGTAAAAAAGTAGTATTAAGGGTATGTTGAAGGCACTCGGCTGCTGTCACCAAAAAGGACGTAAGTCTTGGGTACACGGTCCTCCCTCCGAGCACTACCAGGGTAAGTACAGGTCACCAGAGGGGTCTAAAGCATTCACACACGAGAGAAACGGATACAACAGAAACGGATGCTGTTTGCTACGGAGCAGCACATCTCAACGTTTCTCTTTTGTAAGTCTCTGGAAGTTCTCCTTTGCCTCTAAAATAAAGCTCAAAATACTGATATTCAGAGTTTTCTACCCTCTGCTCTAATATGCCTCATAAACATACACCCCACGATTTCCTATCTTATTTCAGAATGGCCCTTAGACAAGCTGTGTGGTTTACAAAGAGACCAATTACTTTGAATGCTAGGGTCCAAAGTAAGAAACTATCAGTTCTGTCTGAATGCTATTAAGAGCACTTTTACTGTTTACATCAAAACCACACTAAAATTCCAGAACTCAACAGGCACGAGTTGTAGTTTAGAGATTATAACGACGTATCTGACATTTCTTTCCCGGTCCTTATTAGCTTCCTATCAATACCTGAGAAATAACCTTTAGAAAATGACACCTGCAAACTTTTATGAAAGAAAAAACACAGTAATGATTCGGCAGATTATAGTCCTGTACCTATGGGTAGGATTCTTTTAAAGCATTCACTGAAGAAACAATTTCTCAAGAATTACAGGGAATAAATGATCCACCATGCTTTTTTTTTTTTTTTAACCCGCATATGGCCTATTTTAAGTTTTTACCTTTTTATTTCTAAAGAATTAAAGACCGGTTCAAGGTAAAGCCAAGATCTTTGACAATTCACCCACTCCTCAAGAGTATGAGAAAAGAGAGTCAGGTTGTGGTCCCATTTATCCACCAGACCCTGCAAACATAAAAACACACAAAAACTGTAAGAGTCATCAAATAGAAACTGAGAGCAACGGTGATTATCAGTCACTGACATACAGGAAGTAATTAATGGAGGGTCTGTAAATGAATATAAATCTCATATTTAGTACTGGGGGAGGTTTGAGATGTCCCACACATTCCATTTTCTGTCTTATTTATTATACAACATACAAATATTTTGGAATATATATTCTTTCATTGCTTTCTTTAAACTTTTTTGCACATATACATGTAATATCTTTAGGAATTTACATAAATGCAATCGTATTATATACATTGTTCTGTAGCTTGTTTTTTTTTTTTTTTAAGCCTAACAGTGTCTTTTAGAGAAGTTTTACACTAGTACTTACAGGCTTTCTTCATCGTTTCAATATCGGAAAACTCCGTTTGTCATAAAGGCATTTAGGCATTTGGCCTAAATATCCCCCTTTTTAGGGCTCTAGCCAATCGTGATAAAGGTTTGGTTTATATTTCTCTTTTTGCTTATTTTCAATTTAAAAATTTTGATCACATTTCCTGTATATTATTCTATGGTTGACGTAAATTTCCTGTCTTGTGTGTGAGTGATTTGGTGATTGTCTTTTTGCTATTTTTCTGCTGTTCGCCTTTCACTTTACTGTATATGGTGAGAGAACAGTCTACGTGGTTTATCCTAACTTTTTAAAACTTTGTTTTTTTCTATAAAGTCCAGGTAATGGACATTTTCCCTAAATGTCTGCGTGTTTGCAAATACTACGGATTCCCCTTGTTGAGTACATATTCCTCTCGATCCATGACCAATTTTGTTCATTTTACTGCTGTTTTGACAGTGTTGCGTATCTTGTTGGGCTTCCTGCAGCTTCAGGGATTCTTAGCTGTGGCCGGGGGTGGGCTGCCCAGAGGCACCTCGGAGGGCACCACACACAAGCCGACTGGACGGTTCAGCCAAGGGACACGGGAGCGGGCGGGGAGAGGGCTGCGGGGACCCTGCAAGAGCAGCTCAGGCCTAAAGCGCGGCCTTCTGCTAGGGGCCCCGCCCGGGCGCTGCTGGCCACGTCCTGGCTCAGAGGGCCCTTTTTCCCTTCCTGCTATCAAAACTCACCTTGTCTGCCCAAATTAAACTTTCTCCCGTTTCCTCATCAACGACGAACAGGGTTTCCATGGAGACTTCTTTTTAGTATTTTAACGACTAACCATTCAACCCATTTCTAGAAATGACATATTCAATTCAAAAGCTCACAGGTGGCGAAAGCTCAGTGGTAAGTGAAGCTGCAGGCCATTAAAACGCTTCCTCTCTGCCGTCACATTTACCTTAATGGGCTCGATATAGGAGGACCCTTTAACTGTCGCAAGCATGGTTTGAGACTCTTCCAGCTGAGCCACCAGGTCGTCGAGCGAGGAGATGATGGGGGCGGAGCCGGCCTCCGTGTGATGAGGCACCAGGTGCAGGGGGGTCGTGTTCCAGAGGTCAATGATCTTGAAGAGCATCTTCTCAAGGGCAGTTTCATGGGTCGCCGAGGTTGAGATTTCATTTATTTCCTTTTCATACTGATACATCTAAAAGGAAACATCATTTTTTTAATATCCCGTGGAGCAGACAATTCCTGACGCAGTTAAAAAGACTTGAAACGGGCCTGCCAAAGGAACTTCGGAAACGGCTGGAGATCCGACGGCTGGACCTTCGCGAGCGGCACCTTCTGTGCAGGTGCAGGTGGCGCTGTCCCCTTCAACGTCCCCAGACAGCCTGTGAGTTTTCTCCCTTTTCTAACGTCTACTCCCGGTAGCTATACTTGCTCACTGAAAAGCGGCCCCTCTGGTATTTCAACCTGTTTTTTTTTCCCAAACGATTTTTACTTACCTTGAGCGCTAGAATATTCTCCACTATACAGGTTTTATGAAGATGAACTGACTTCCCAGTAATCTCCTGGAGGGCCTCCCAATGCCTTCGCTTCAGACAGGGGTTCCCCAGAGCTATGATGATAGGCAGCTCTTGCCTAAAACCCGTCACTGACTGCTTCAGGTACATCACCATGTTGTTTTTAGGTAAACCTGTAAATAGCAATGGGTGGGTCAGTAGGCTTACGGTAGGTTCATCATATTTTATAAACCAAACTTAGTTTATCAGTTATTAGCCTGCAATAAAATAATGCGTTTTCTTTAGTAATATCACCCTCCCGGAAGAATGAACTATGGGTTAAAGTCACTATTATTTCATAAGGAAAATATTTTAACACTGAACTGTGGGAAATGTAGGTAGAAACTTTGGATTAAAGAGAAATAGTTACCAGTACTGGAGATTAAAACCCAAGGCCATCAGAGCCAAGTTATCTTATGAAATTTGACCCTAGGGAAGCCAGCTGCCACAGGGCTCCCAGACTGTCCCCGACAAGACAGGTTCACGGACAAGGCAGGTGCACTCATATACATTTGAAAGACTGTAATAGGTTTGGGACTTTTAAATTTTGCTTGTAAGGAAGAGCATTGGGGGGGGGGAAGTCACTATTATTTCATGAGGAAAATATTTTGGACGCTGAACTGTAGGAAATGTAGGTTAAAAACTTGGCCATAGACCAGCACCGGTCTGTCCAGCACCGACAGACCACGGAGACTCAATCCTTAGAACCTTTTTACTCCATTTAAAAGAACAGGGAGGGGGCAGAGAAACAGCCGAAGCTGGGGCCTCAGGAAGACTGGAAACTACACCCATGTTCTTAAATGCCCAGTGTACACGCACGGGGCTTCTTTTATCAGGCCGTGTTGAGTAACAAAATGCTTTGCAAGACCTGGTTAAATGAAAGGACAAGGGAATAATTTTGGTTTTTGCAAGTCTATCCTTTGGCAAACAGCAAGATTTTATGTGGGAAACAGTGGCTAAAAGACGCTGCCTGCGTGTTACTTTATATCCTGTTCTTTGAACGCACACGACACAACATGTGTGCAAGATGCGCAGCGCGCTGCATGAAAGCGGCGAGACTAGGCCGTTTGCTGCCAGTTTTCTCTTTACCAAACTTTTACGATATTGTGTTTTCTGTAAAATTTCAAAGCAAACGATTCAAAGTGATTTTCTGGAGCAGAGCTGAAAGATGAGAGAGGCATTTAAAAGGTAAACGCGTTCCCTTCCCACGTGAAGTGTGTTTCCTTCTGGAAAGGCCACGTGGCAGGACCTGCTTGCGCAGGGACAGTGTCTCTGCACCGACGAGGCTTCACGTTTGATTCAGGAAGGGAAGCCCCTCCAAGGGGCTCTTCAGCCCTTTCCCGCGGCCCCGAGGACCCCGGGGGCACACAGGCAAGGATGTGGGTTCGGGCCCTGCCCATCAACCCGCCTCTGGCCCTAGGAAGACGGAGAATCACGGGGAAGTGTGTAGGGTTCTGCCTGGGGAACCGACTTTTAACGGGTACGCAAACCGTTACCACTTTAAAAAAATTGGGGCGGGGAGGGCAAAGTTTTCATCTCTTTTTCTGCTTCGGGAAACAATCCTACCCCATATTCCTGTCCCCTCTCCAGCCATTAGTGGCGAGCCCTTGGAACAGGTAGTCACAAGGATCCTGCTGACCCCAAGGGCACTTTGTGTGTAATTCTAGGGGGGGAAACGGAGACACACCCACCTTTTTCCAGCACATAGATGATGTTCATCCACCTGGAGACGTTCCTCTGCACGGCCTCCACGTCGATTTCGTGGAGCGCGCTGGCCCGCCACTCCTGGAAGAGGGCCCTCCACTCCTCCTGCGCATCCCACAGGACCCGCCGCAGCGTCAGGTCGTACTCGATGTCGGAGATCTCCGCGTGCACGATCTGCGTGATCTCCTCCAGGTTGAAAGAATGGGTGTCGCTGAAGAACTCCTGGTAGTTGGAGCACATTCGGATTTTGTTAGCCAGGCTTGCCGCCTCCTGGGAGAGCGCCTGGATCATTTCCATCGCCGTTGACACTCGGGTGCCGGTGTGGAGCAGGACGGGGGTTCTTATCTGGAAAGCGACAATGAGGTGGGCTCAGGCCACGGTGCTCAGGGAGCAGCCAGCTCTACTGGCGGCATTTCAGCATGCGGCCCAAGCCTCGCCCAATGTTCCTGGCAGCCATCACCTAGAAGGACTGTCTGTAGTTTATAGTTACTTCTGTTTATGATCCATTTTAATTATTACCACCATCAGATCTGCAATTCACAGTGTGTATCGTCCCCATTTCAGGCACTACAGTAACACATTACCTTACTTACTAAACCCATGTGAAGCTGGAACTATTACCATTTGGCCTAGATGAAGGCCCAGGAAGAACTCAGGGTCTCTTAGCCCTTTTTGTGCCATGGGCCCCCTTGGACTGTCTGTTGAAGCCAATGGAAAAAGTCACCAGCTTTGCTGTTCGCTGCCAACAGTAACTCAAAATTGAAACAAATGCTAAATTTCAGTTAGAGGTTAGTGAAAACAGACTTGTAATTTTACTGCCCATTCGAGTTCCCAAATCACCAAAATTCTGTTTGTGAATTCCGGGTGAAGCTTACGTACATTAAATTATTGACCTAACTGTCCACAGAAAAGAAGATACCTACCTGCTTAGGCCTACATGAGACTAAGATCAAGTTGATTTTTAATGAAAAACAAAAACTTACTTTGGCCTTTAAATTACTGATGTCAACCCGCAGACCAGTGACATATACTTCCAAGTTGTCTCTGAACTTCGCAATGGTAGCATCTTTATTTATTTTACTTAACTTCATAGCAGTTTTTAGCTGAGTGAACTTGATGAAAAGGGTTTTGTGTATGGCAACCTGCTCCTCTGAAATACGGATCTGGTAGTACCTCAAAACAGAGTAGAGCTGAGCAACTGTTGAATGCTCTTTTTCTAGTCTAGATATTTCTGAGGAAACTGAATCCAGAAAAGTAAAAAGTTCCATAAATTCTTCTATTTCAGTGGGATCGCATTCCAGCTTTTTCAGTGATGATTCTACAACCTGAAATCATTCACACATCGATTTGAATATACAAGGATTTCTCACTATTTTAGAAGACTAGTTACTCTGTTTAAACATCTCACACGGGGGGAAATAAAGACATCATCTAGGCATTATTCTAAGTACTTTTAAAATACTGAGGTATTAATATGATCAAATCATTTTGATTGTTCACAAAAGGAGCTGGAATGTTTGCTGCAAATAAAATAAGAGCTACTAAGACATGAAAGTGCTATTATAATTTTTTTTCTAAGAAATAAATGTAACAACAGTAACAAGATTATGGCTGGAATGCAGACAGTGCATAACTGCTATCATTTAGTGGACATATATGTGCTATGTTCTTTACATACATGATTTCACTCTGTCCTGATAGCATGTTTGTAACTGTTTGTTTTTCCAGTTTGCACAGGAGGAAACTCTCAGCGGGATTAATTAGCCTAAGACCAGAAATTTAGTGAGTTATAGAGCCTTAATTTAAACTCACATCTCACTCCAAATCCCATCTGTACCCATTCTAAGTATATGTAGTCATTCTAACAGCTACACTCAACATCCTGGCTGTATATTTCATTATATACAGCACGTAGCACTGTTCATCAAATAGACACTTTTCCATCCTTTCTTAAACTCTCTGTAGCATTAAAAATGACTAAATGTCCCCTCTTTCTCAAAATACTCTCTTGCTTCCTTCGATCCCTTCGGTTGTCCCTTGGGTATGCTTCCTCCAGCCATCCCCTACCTGGTGAGACTCTTCAGGCTTCTATTGTTCCTCTATTGTCACCATACACAGAGACACGCACATTCTCATTCACTTGGACCATTTCAATGACAACCTGTATGCCGGTCATTTAAATACTTATTTCCAGTCTAGACTCTGTCCTGAAGTCCAGACATGTGCATCTGAGCACCTCTACCTGAATATCACACGACCAAGAGAGCGCTGTGTTCCCTCACCCAGTGAACTGCGGTCACTGCCCACACTGCTGTCTTGCCAGAAACCTACAAGCATCGGTCCCTGTTCTTTGTCGCACTCTTTCCATTGTGTCTGTCACTGAATCCTGTTGACTCCATCTCTTTGCCTATCTGTCAAACCCATACGCTTCTCAGACCACACACGGTTACTTCCCTGGTTCGAGCTACCATCACGTCTCCCCTAGGTTACGGGGATTACACATTTCCTCCTGCCTGGTCCCACTCTCATCGAGTCTTCACACTGTGGCCAGAGGGGCCTTTACAAAAATTCAAATTGCACCGTGTCACATCCCTGCTTAAAATGAGCAACGAGTCCCACCAGGGAAAGACAGTGATATGGGGTGCAGTTCAGGGGTTTCTTTGAGGAGCTGACATTTGATCAAAGACCCAAGCAAATACAACACATACTGGAATTTCCTGAGGACACTCCTCATCACGTATGCTTTCTAAGGACACATTTAGAAATTATAATCTACTAACCTTGAAGATTTTCAAGCAATAGGAATTTTCAAAATACTTACTTCCAATAGGTTTGCATTCTTTTTTTCGATCACAGATCGCAGGAGGTCCTGGCTTATACGTATGACATTCTCGATGTGCGGTAAGCATTCTGCCTGGTAATCGAGACTCACAACGGTGAAAATACCAATACGCTTCTCAACGGCCATGTGAACAATATGTTTAAGATAATTTGTGAACTCAGCCAGTATAGTTCGAAACTGCGCTGAAGTTAATTCTTCCACAGACGATACTTTCATGATCATCATCTTGGCCCTGTCTACCATGGTACAGTATTTCAGAAACCTGTGGCTATATGTATTAACCAGGCCCATGGAGTTACCAACAACAGTCAGGAGACTCACAATCTGTCAATAAAAATGTTAAACAGTTCGTCAGAATTTTATTTTAAGAGTGAAACAAGCATGGCCTGACATACTAATGATTCTGTTAAAAATATTTAAATATCACAGTTTTATGTGGAGTTCGTTTCATTAAGAACCTCTACTAAGTAAATATGTTGGAAACACGAGACTAAGAAATTCGTATCACTTGTTAATATTTGGCTTTTCTGTAAAGTTATACGAGGCTATTGAATTATAATTAGATTATTTTGAGCCAAATACTGGAGACTGACTGTTTATCCCTTTACAGGTCACCCTGGTTGGGCAGACATCTACGCTCTGTGCCCAGAAAAGGCCAATTCTATAGACTATGACGTTCATTGGCTACTCTGGATAGGGCAGACTCCTGGTCGGAGCTAAACCATGACATTCTGTTGCGAATTTGAACAAAAATACCCAGTCAGATGGTAATGGGAAAAGTCTGGGTCATGGCAAGTCAACCTATTGGCAAGGCAACGTTATGAGGGAACCATAAGAGAGAGAGAGCTCATTTTTGTAGGGGAATTGGGGGGGGGGTGTGTGTAAACAGATGAAATATCAGGAGGAAGACAAATTGGGAATGATTTTCCAGTCGCTACAAATTATGATACTATAATTTTTCATTAAATTCCTTTCATCTAAGAATGTCAGTGGGTTTCTGCTCATGAAACCAAACATTCCCTAAGACAAACTGTTTTCAAACTTACTTTATTTTGGTATGCAGGGTCCATCTCAAAAAGGATCTGACAATCTGGCCATTTGGTTTGCTTCTTATAGTTTATCCTACTTTGCGTCTTATTAGGTAACTCCATAGTTAAAGTCAAATCAGTAAAGTTAGACAGGCGGGGATCTTGGTAAAGAGGAATGATTTGGGCTGAAATGTAAAATAAAAAGTTAGTATTTTCAGAAGTCCCAATGGAAGCAACACCTTAAAATTATCGGTGGCGTCTAGAACTACTAACAACTGAGGCTGGTTTATTATAGGGGCTGGATGATTTTCTATACTGATAAATGGAACTTAAGGGCAGGTGTAAAAGTTTGGATTTAATATTATAAGAACAAGAGAATCACTCATAGGTAACTGGTAATGGTGGGACAAGGCATGATTAAAATAGAAACTGAGAATAAGTCGTTAAGTTCACAATAACTTGAGTGGCTATGCTCTGTGTGGAGCATTAGACCCCTGTGAGGAAACTGAGATTAGAACACACAGCCTCTCTCTCAATGAGTTCATCATCTCGCTGCACAACTGGATGTTCACAGGCAAGAAAAAGAACTTAGACCTGCACTTTATACATTGTAAAGTATCAACTCAAGACCAATCATATACCTAAAAACAAAACACACATCTATAAATTTTCTAGAAAATACAGGAAAAATCTGTGTGAACTTGAGTTAGACAAAGAGTTTTCAGATACAAAACTAAAAGCACAATCTGCGAAGGAAAAAACGGGTAAGCTCTACTTGAAGTTTGGCTCTGGGACGAAGAATGAAAACATAAGGCTCATACTGGGAGAAAATGTTTGCAAATCTTCTGATAAAGAACTTGTATCCAGAGCACATACAGAGAATTCTCACAACTCGACATTAAGGACAGTGAGAGAGGCTGGATGCCTGAGGCTACAGGAAGAAATCAAACTGTCCACTGGACACCAGCTCAGGCCGGAAAGAGGGTCCTCAATTCAGCAGACCACGGTGATGTGACTTAAATGACCCAGCATTTAAGGTGCTGCAAAGGGCCTGCTGTTTCCAGATGTTTGTCAGACTGATTGTGAGGAAGGGCTAAGTTCACTGGTCAGGCTGGCAACTGTCGGGTTAATTTCAGATTTTGTACACAAAGCAGGAAAAGAATTAATAAAAATCCATTTAAGGTGGAAACAATATCTTTGTTTTGCTATGATATATAAGATATTGCTTATTTGTTTAAGTCTCATAAGATTCTGCCGTACATTACTGAGAAAAATCCAAGCCTTCGCTAATGTTTCTAATTCTATGGTTATGTGCATAATTCCCACATCCTGAAATAATTCCAAATTCACATCGATCGATCCCAGAGAGTGTGAATCTGTAGTGTCTGCCATATACCCGGGGAAAGGCTTCAAATGCCTACATTTAAGAAAATATTGCTGAAGAATACAACGTATCTAACTAAACATTAGAAATACTTACTTATACATTTTTCGATATCAGTCACCATATTTTGAATTTTTATTGAAAACTCCAGTCTGTTGGGAGCAATTAAGAGGTTTGTAGAGAATTCTAAAAGTCTGAAAGAGAAAACGGGAAAAACACATTTCAGAATAATGCAGTAACTAACACATAAAATACAATTACTTATAATTTCAAAAATGTTTACTGCTTACTCATCACACATGAATTTCTTCTTAAAATCTGTTAGGGTGTCTTCTTCTAGTAGAGTCCATTGAAAGAAAGAATAAAAATGTGATTGATATTGTTGTCAGCTACTAAGGTGAACTGTGTCAGTAATTTCCAAACACCCTAAGCATAAACTGGCAGTGCCCCCATCCCACCCCACCCCACCCCCCGATTCTGAGGGAGGGGGTCTCAGACGGAGTCCAAGAGTCTTTTTTTTTTAAACTTATTTTATAAAAAACTATGTTCTTATTGATTTCAGAGAGAGGAAGGGAGAGAGAGAGAAACATCAGTGATGAGAGTCATTGACCGGCTGCCTCCTGCGCGCCCCCTGCTGGGGATCCAGGAGCCTGCAACCCTGGCCTGTGCCCTGACCGGGAATCGAACCGCGATCTCCTGGATCCTAGGGCGATGCTCAACTGCTGAGCCACACTGGCCGGGCAAGAGTCTGCGTTTCAGTTGGCACCTGAGGTATAATATTCATCCTCATGAAGGGGGTCCTCAGCCCCCCCAGTGACAAGTGGTATGTTTATTAAGATAAAAATGAGCAGATCATGGTGTGGTATAACTCACATACTCTACCAACGGTCTGTAAGCTGGTGCTCGCTTTGAGCACCCCTACTTCAGCCTTCATAAGTCACCTCCTCACCGGTAACCCATAAACTGCTGCACTTTCGCTCACTTATCGCCCAGCTGCTGGGGCGTTTCCCTTCCTTCTCAGCAGTCCCGTTGCTCTCACCGGAAAGGATTTCTTCCAGGTGGAAATTGCTCCTTTCTGGTTTCATGACTGGGGGTTCACTGCTCAAGGGCTGCATGGCATGGCTGTCTTCACTTTCTGAGATTCCTTCCTCTTTGCATATTGAAGATTTTTCAGAGCACTTATTGGACTCCTCAAAGCTCTCTCTAGAGCTTTCTGAAGAATCGCTCTCAGCAGGAATTCTCAGGTGTAGATTTACTTCAAATACTGGTGCGTATGTCTTTCTCAGCTCTTTATCCATTTTAATGCAATTCAAAATCTAATTTGAAAGATAGGTTAAAGTTTCAGTGACAATATATAACTAAAAGAACATTTAATTTAGAATAGAGACCTAAATTTTACAAGATAAATAATAACCTCGATGTAGCTGAATGACACTGTGTTACCATGTATCTAGATATCTGCATGTTAAAATAAGCAAATTAATGTAAAATAAATGAAATACTGCCACCCTATTTTCCCCAAAACTATGTAAATGGACGCCAGAGTGGCCACATATTATTTTAGAGTTTATTAAAAATACAAATTCTTAGGCCCCGTTCCAAGAGATCTGGAGTTAAAATGCCAGGGTCAGGGCCCAGAAATCATAAATCACATCTTAATTTCAAAACTTATTTTACTTATTTATTTTTCATTTATTTGTTATTTAAGATCTTTGTTTATATTTTTCTAAGACCATTTTACCTCATTAATACCAGCTTCTGTTGTTACTTCTGACTTTAGAAAAGAAGTGGAATGCAAGCTTGAATTAGAAACAAGTTCTTCAGAGTGATTTGTTATCTTTCCAGTAAAAGCAGAGGTGCCTTTGTACGATCTAGATTAAGGAATGGAAAAGAAAAGAAAGGTCTTTTTAAACTCTTAAATCTCATTAATATCCGTAATACATAACTGACTAGGCATTCCTCCAAAGAAATCTTGCCAGTAAGTATGCAAAAACATGCTTAGCAACACTGATCATTAAGGACTACAAATCAAGACCATGCTGAGATATCACTTCGCACCAATTAGGATGGATATTGTTTTTTAAAAAGGAAAATAATAGTGTCGGGGAGGTAGAAACGGGGTGATTTGCTGATGGGAATGAAAATGGGGCAGCTTCTGCGGAAAACAGGAGGGAAGTTCCTCAAAATGTTAAATGTGGGATTAACATATGGTGCAGCAATTCCACCTAGAGGTACATAAACAAAAGACCTGAAAGGGACCCAAGCAGCTATCTGCACGTCAATGTTCACAGCACCGTTATTTACAACAGCCAAAAGGCTGGCCCACTGCCTTCACGAGACGAATGAACCAACAACATGTGGTACATCTATACAGTGGAGTATTAGTCAGCCTTCAAAAGGAAACCGTCGCGTGCTACGTCATGGCTGAACCTTGAAAACACGACGCTAAGTGAAATAAGCCGAACACAAAAGGCAGTACTGCACGATTCCCCTTATGTGAGTCCTGAGAACAGCTAAGTTCATAGACACAGAAAGCGTAACACAGGTTACAGGGGCTGGGTGGGGGCTGTGCGCAGGGAACGAGGGGTTACCGCTCGATGGGGCGAGTTTCAGTTTGGGGTAATGAAAAAGTTCTGGAGATGGAGGTGCTGATGGTTGCGCAACACTGAATGTTCTTAATGCCGCTGAATTACATATTTAAAAATGTGAATTTTATGTTATTTATATTTTACTACCATGAAAAATCCTCGTGTCTCATTTAAGCCAATGGAATGGACTCAAATTCCAATCGAACCTTATGGCTCCTTCTAGAATCACTCTTGGAGCTCTGGCCCAGCTGGGGGTGGCTCAGCAGTTGAGCATCAACCTAGGATCTAGGAGATCGGGGTTCGATTCCTGGTCAGGGCACATGCCCGGGTTGCGGGCTCGATCCCCAGTCGGGACCGTGCAGGAGGCAGCCGATCAATGACTCTCATCATTGATGTTTCTCTCTCTCTCCCTCCCTCTCTCGGAAATCAATAAAGATATTTAAAAAAAAAAAAGTAGCTCTGAACTTTGAAGACGCAGTATATCTATACATGGAACTGCCAGGTTTAGCAAATAAAAGTACACAACACCCAGTTAAACTGGAATTTCAAACAAACAATTTTTAGTATGAGTAATATTTGGGACATACTAAAAATTATCCATTGCTTATCTGAATTTCAAATTGCACTGGACATCCCATATTTTATATTGTGATCTGACATATGCGGAATTTTGAAAAAATATTGGGAACATTTCTTACATTTTATGGACAGTATTAAATAAAGTATTGCCAGATACTAAGTTCAGATCATTGTAAAAATTGAGTATATACAATTTTCTCTAAGGAGACTTTTCAAATTCTACCTTCAACTACTGGATATTCCCTCCATAACAAACAATCGGTGTTTACAACACTATGATCACACAAATTCCTTTTTATAAATAAAAACGTCTGACTTACTTGATGAGATTTTCATTCTTTTTGCCCTCGGAGGATGGCATTCTAGCAGAGTTATTAAATGACTCCAACAGGAGCGTGACCGCCGTGTTCATCAGCTGGCGGACGACCTCCTGGAAGATGTAGTCAACCAGCATCAGAAACCGCCAAGTCGTTCTTAATAAGCGTCGATATTTAGGCAGCTTGAAATGTGACCTGCCATCTTCAGAGGAGCTGGACTCGAAATATTCTTTAATGTCCTCCTTTTCTGCCACCTACAGTTCAATCAACAATTGAGAGATGAGTGACGGTTTCCTACGCTGACATAGCGTGGCTCCTCATGTACAGTATTTGTATCAGTCTGAATAATATATTGGAACTGAACATAACAATTGCCATCAAAACTGTCCTTCACGCCTACACTGTATTTAAACATCAGACAGAAAAAACAACTTCTGTCCTGGAGCCTACGAAATATGGTGACTCACAAGCAGGTAAGTTTAGGAAACTCAAACAGGAGGAACACTCTCCTGAGCATGGACAGGTCCCTGCACAGAGGGGCCCCCCTCAAATACAGTTACCAGAGCGGGAGGGTCCCATCTAAACATAAGGATTCCCCAAACCCAGCCCAGTGCTGCCTCCTTCATATGAGGCTCCAGCAATCAGACTTTATTTTTTTTAGCACATATATGCTACCTAGTACAGGATTAAGAAAAAATTTAAAATCATCAAATTTGATGGAGTTTTGTAAACATAACATACCTTTTTTTTTTTTTTTAAGATATGTTTTTACTGATTTCAGAGAGAGGAAGGGAGAGGGAGAGCGAGATAGGAATATCAATGATGAGAGAGAATCTTTATTGATCGGCTGCCCTGACCGGCAATCGAACCGTGATCTCCTGGATCATGGGCGGACGCTCAACCACTGAGCCACACCAGCCAGGCATATAGAACAGACTTCGTAGGTCACTGGGGAGTGGCGTGCCTAGGCTCTTTTGTTAATACCTTTTGATTTTTGTCACGCTTGGCCAAACTGTCCCGGGGTCCGTCTACGTGACCGGGCTCAGGGAGGTCAGGATGACGATGTGGAACGACACGAGCGACAAGGGGCTTTAGTTCACGGACATAAAACAGCTGCACTTCGCCTTCCCATCAACAAGCCTTGAAGTCACTGCTACCGAGCAGCTATCACAAGCTCAACTCAGAGAAATAACATCTGAAAATTAGCTGAGGGGAACTCAGTCCATTTGTTCCTCCGGAGAGCCTCAAATATCCTTCTGGATCCGGCCAGATCAGCAGAGACCGACGGCCAGTCCACAGCCCGGTGACACGCGTCAGTCCCTTACCAAACTGCGTCCCTGCACAGGGAAGCTCGGGAAGATCCTCCTGGGGGACGAGCCGCGGCCTGTCAGATACGGATGCCCCGGGGACACTTCATTGAATCACTGGGTCCATTTTATAAAACCCTTAGGGAAGTTTTATCTCATCCAGTTATGTTTCTCCTGAGCAATGAGTTTTTGTCTCAGGAACACTGAACTTTGTAACAAATCACGCTGCCTTTTATATGTCAGCTCAAGTTAGGTTTTAAGCATCTTGGAAGTATATATATATAAATATCCACATATGTGATGTATACAAGCACCTAAGTTTACTTATATGCACATATATTTGCATTCTCTGCAACTGGAAAAATTCCTGTACTGTACACCTAGTTAGTTGGCACAGTACTAGTTAGTTGGCTAATTACCCACCCTTGCCCCTCTCTCTGCCCATTTCCAATACTTCTTCCAGGGGTGCAAGGTGGGGCAAAGGCTTTATTTAGTCAGTACATAAACACACTGATATATTGAGAAGATTTAATTAAAGAATTACCTTTAAAATTGTACTTTTAATCTTTGAAATAGCTTTATCCCTGATATCCTCCAGCTGTTTCAATGCTCGGGTAGCCTGCTGTAACTGTTCCGCACAAAATTCATCCAGAGAGTATGTTCGAGACCTATCCAGCTAATCAAATGACAGCAAATGTTGAGCGGCGCGAAGTCAGAATTCATTTACACAAAACAGAGATCAAGCAATTCGGTCACCTTCTCATGTCATAAAGAGCGTACTTTTATATGCTTTCCTTGGTTTCAGAGAGGGGAAGGGAGACGGGGAGAGACAGAGAAACATCGATGATGAGAGTCATTGCAGGCCCCTGCTGGGGATGGAGCCTGAAACCGGGCCTGTGCCCTGACCGGGAATCGAACCCCGATCTGGATCCTAGGCCAGGCCTGAGCCACGCCGGCCGGGCCGCGTTAACCACTAACATGGACAACACCGGGGAGCACCGCTCCCTGCGGGCCTTTCAGGACACCCGGCGCCCACGGTGACAGTTTATTCGCGGATCTCGGTGCCTGTCCTCCTCGGACTCCCACCCCGCCGGCCGTCCCGGGGTCCCCTACCTTCACAAGGCAGACGGCGGGGGCGCCGTCCTCGCCCTCGGCGTCGCCCCTGGGGTTGGCCGCATCCTCACAGAGCCCCTTCACGTGCAGCAGGCAGCCCTGCAACAGCTCGTCGGCGCAGAGCAGCTGGCAGCGCAGAAACGCCCTGCGAGGCGAGACGTCGCCAGAGGCTTAGCCCGCCCCCCCCCCGGCCGGGGGCCACTCGCTCAGGGCCATCCGCACAACCAGCCGCCCAGGCCACAGCCGACATGCGGTCCCCCGTCACGGGGGTCACCGAGGGGGATGGCGCACGCGGAGGGCACAGGGCCTCTGCATCGCTCCTTACAACTGCGCTTCCATCACGACAGCCTCGGGGCACAGCGTGCCTGCTGGATATATCCCACGAAGCAGAACTACCTGCCATCTACCCGGGACTGATCGTTCCCCTTTCGAACGCAAAAGGTCCGGTTATGCGACCCAGGAGGTCTCACCATAGGCTCTTCCCAGCACCCCGATTTCCTCGCGGCACAGAATGATGTGTTTATATAAATACACACATATACATATACACACACACACACACACGTTCATATATACATACATATAACATTCTGTTTAACATATAAAAATACTAATAGGCTTTAAAAATTTAGATGGATTAAATTTAATCATAAAGGTATGGAATGTGACTTTCTAATCACTGAGTGAAAATTAATTTATATCTGCCTCCGTGCTACATAGTTAAAATAATGCTTCCTCCTGAGATTTCTATGAATACATTGCATATCAGGACTTACCTGCTTCTCTCTGTCTTAGTTCTTTTAACATTCAATTTCCAAGTAACAAATGCTTTATTAATTCTGAAAAGAAAAACACTTCTTACATTCTACATTCATAAATCGTAGTTCTATAAACTTACTAAAGGCTTGGTAATACTGGAAAATTCTCTAGAGTGTCTCATCCATCCCGAGTTACTTAAAGCAAATACTAAACCGTATCACTATCTCCCAATCACTAGAATACAGAACATGTAAATGTAAGCAAAATTATCATTCTCATAGATGCATAATCCATTTAGTTGGAACATTTCAATAAACATAAAAACTATAAAAATATATTCTTTTCCCTTACACAGTTATTGGCTCACTATTTTTAAGAGATTCCTATTTCAAGAGGAGTCGAGGTTCAATTTTCAGTGACACTGAAAAGGTACATTGATAAGAAATCCTTGTATAGTGGTAAGTAAAAAAATTACGATAACGTATGTCATTTTGATAATATTTCACACTGGCGATCATCCATCAGCTTTCACACATGAAGCAGGCATGTTCGGCGGCTTCCATAAACCTCCCTCAGCGTCTCTAAGTGCATTTCGCCACCTATTTCACGCGCTTGTGGGGCTAGTGCCACATCACGGCCCCTCTCAGCACATTTCCACCCTGATGGAAAAGCTCTTAAATAAACGCTGGGATGTGTTGTGACACTCACTTGTCACAGTGAGATCCCGGTGGGGAAGGGACACGGTGGGCAGAGGAGTGCCCCAGAGGCCAGCCGGCCACTCTCAGTGACACTGGCGCGTGCAGGAGGCACCCAGTGGGCATCTCTCGCATGAATGTCCCCCTCCTCCCCACTCTCTCTGAAAAGCAACGGAAGAAATATCCTCAGGGGAGGGTTATCCACACTAAAAAAATCCATTCACTTCTCTTCCAGGAAAGTCCCTCGGGTTCTTAGTTATTTCAACTATTTACAATATTAAATGGAACAATTTTAAATAGTATTTCTCTTCTCCTAGTCCCCAGCAGACAGCAGCAGACCACAAGAAAAGACAGACATCAGGAAATAAAAAATGAGAAAACTAGATACAAACACTAAAGGAACGACAGTCTGGGGCTAGTTTGTGAAGGATCGCAGTCTCAGGAACGTGAAGGATGCGAGAGAAACTCAGAGCCAGACACATTTTTAAATGATGACCTGGAATCAACAAGCTGCCCCAAGCTCCCTAACTCTGTTTTGTTTTCCTTTGTAGTATTTCATCTCCATCTGACATTTTGCACATACATACATATATATATATATACACACACACACACACACACACACACATATATATATATACACACACACATACAGATATATTTTTTATTATTACCTCTCACCCACTGTAATCTAAGTTCTTTGAGAGCAGGACAATTGTTTGGCTTGTTCAACAGCATCCAGAACAACACCTGGTTTGTAGCAGACTCAATAAATATTTAACAAATGCATGAAAAGCCAAAGGTCAGTTAAGGTCATTATAGACAGCTGAAATTTGCCCAACTTTAAAATCTCTTTCTCTTACAATATTTATCCAAAAAGATAAAAATAAGAGCTGTAATGCTTAAGCTGGTAAACGTCCTTTATCTAAAATTTCCTTATGGATTATAATTTCCTCTCTGATTCCTCATAAATATGGCTTTCCTGCGGCGAAACCCAGACGCCACGCGGCTAACTGCTATTTCAAGAGGAAATGACAAAGAACAGGTTTTGGTTTCCGTCATCTCACCGGAAACTGGAGAAGATCCTGAACTGCCGGAGCAAGTAGTAGCATCTCCTCTCCGACAGCCACTCCCGCGTGGGCAGGAGCTCCACCTCCTCCTCCAGGCCCGTTCTGGTCACCTGCAAGTCCAAGGCACAGAAACACGCCTGTATTTCTGGACGTGATACGTGCTTATGTTCGAGAAATTAAGGGAGCCTGTGTCCGGCTCAGGCCTGTCTGTAACTCAGCTTTTCCCCTCTCCCGCCTCCGCCCCTCGCACCCAAACCCCCTCGCCCTTGGCCGCGCGTTACCTTTGAAACAAACGCAGCCGTCACGGTCCAGAACTCCCTGCAGTGCCTGGCTCGGTGCGCGGAGACCACCTGCAGGTCGTATTGATTATAAAAGACTTTAGGATTTTTCCGAGGAAGACAGTACACAAATTCTCCATCTTGCAGAGGTTCCTGAGGTGGAAAAGTTGTTTAATGAACTTGACTCAGTTAAGTAGTAACATGGCTGAACAGCTAACTCAGTAAACTGAAACTTTAATACAGAGAAAAGTTAACACCAAATTGTGTCTAATCAGAGTTCAACGAGATCTTAAGATTTAATATATTTTCATTCTTATACATACTGTGGTGATAAAACAGTCATGACAATCTGTATGCTCACAAATGCACTCTTATTAACCCAAAGAACCTGACAATATACATTTGTCGTATGTTACGCCTCCAGTAAATTTGTCTGCCAACACCAGAAGCCTTTGAAGCATATTAAATTTATAACTTATTTTGATAAAGGGGGTGGTTTAGTATGATAGCAGCTAACATTTGCCAAGTAATAAATATTTAATGAGTAATAAGTGTTTCACATACCTATCTTTACGACCACAGAGTTTTTAGTGTCTTAACTTTAATCTCTTAAATTTAAGAGGTTAAATTTAAGAGATTAAAGTTTGATCTTTCTAATCTCATTAAACAGATGCAGAAATTAATATTTTGAGAAGTTAGGTAATTTGAGAAACGTCAGAAAGTGGCAAAGTAGGGATTTGAATACAAGTCTGAGCTGCTGCGATTCTCTCATGTGTCTCCCTTACTCACCCGACAGCGTTGAGAAATGAGGTACCCCGCTGATACGAAAAATGTTAAGTGAGATTTATTTTAGCATTGAAACTTTTTATTGATAAAACTCTACAGCAAAGTCTAAGTTAGTCTTTTCTGGATAATTAAATTTTATTACGAAAGAGCATTCGTATTCTTTATTATAATTCAATGAATGATGCCTCTAGAGGCTGTTGGACTGATTAACTAAACAGCTTCCAATCACCGTAATTTTGAATTTTGGGTTCAGTTTTACATTAGGGTTTCTTTTTAAAAATCACAAAAAGCTGATAAACACGAACATAAGAGTAGATTCAAATTTCAGGCAGAGTCTTATCTGTTCTCCATTCTTTAAACAAGTGAAATCAAATGAGGTCAAACACCTGTCATTAGCATTCACCATGAAATGAGATAATTTGATATTAATAAAATAATAATGTTGGAATGAGTCTAATATAATGAGTAAAATAAAGATTAAGATCCAGTTTCAAATATTAATTTTTATAGTACAAAACTGAATAAAATCAAATAATACCTTTAGAAGAATCTTCTGAACTCTACTTTTGGGACTCTTGTATACCAAATTATGGTGCGGCAATGCTGTTTGGCAGCCAGACTTTTCCCTTAGCCTGATAATATGTCTTACCACATCATCATCGGCTGGTTCTGGTTTAGAACATTAAAAGAAGATCCAATATAAGTGTAAATATGGGCATCACTTAAGGGTATGTATGATATATCCAAATATTTCTACATAGAGAAAAATTTAAATGGCAACTTATACTTAAAGTTTACACAGACTATCTACCTGGAGGAGAAAATATAGCTTAAAATTCAATTTTACCTGAAGCTGAAAAGAATATTCTCCCATTTAAGAAAGATATCACAAAAGACCTAATCACACACGTGGTTAGCAAGAAAAGACACCAGAACAGAGACCAGTCCAAAGGGTTTTCTTAATAAGGGCCTAAGCTGGGAATCAGAGAAGTAGGGATGGCTACAGAAGATGGGAGTCTTGTTCCTGAGACTCCATCCGATGGGCGCCTTTCATTCTCTCCTCCTTGAAACATCCGTATTTCTTGGTTTCGTTCACCCTCTTAGCCCTTCAACTTCTTTTCTCGGGAAAACAGATCACGGGAGAAGCATGCCGAGCGCATGCTGGCAAATCCGACCATGCCCTGAAGTCGCTGGAGATTCCTGGTTCTAGAAATCACCAACACGGGCTGAGCAAAACTGCTTTTTTTTTCTTTGGTAAGGATTAAATGCGACTCGGTACATTGGATAAAAGGGTGTGAGGATTTGGAAAGGCGATGCACGAGTTAAGAGCGGGCTCCTCTGTAAGTTTTGGGCCCCAGGCACCTCACCTGTCTCACCCTAGTCTGAGTCTTGTCAGTTTGCTTAAACATGGAAATACATCTAAAATATTAATTGAAAAGAAAGCTAGTTGACGTTAGGTATAAGAGAAGGGGGGGGTTACTGAAAACCAGCGGAAGGAAATGGTACAAACTGTATGTCCAGCCACGAGTAATAATTACAGACTCAGATATAAAGACATAGAAATCAAAGCAGCGTGCTGTTGGCGCAGGGAAGGAAAAACCTATCAGTAGAACAGGTAAGAATATAGAGGTATGACAATTTATAAAATACAATCCAGTAAGTGGTATTTCAAATCAAAAGAGAAACGATTACCTGTTCATAATTCATAACAGGAAAACGGTTAGGCATTTAGAAAAATACGTAGTTATCTATACAAGTATATATAATTAGTATAAGGTAGATAATTATATATGGACTAGAGGTCCTTATATAGGTGGGTTAGAGAAATGTAGAAAAAAAATAACAGAAATACTGGAAGAAACTATGGGAGGTTATTTTTATAAACCTGGGGGGGGGGCAAAGGCTTCCTAAAAGAGGCTCAAAGCATGTGGGAAGGAAAACAACTTGACTTCCTCGAACTAGGCCGTTTATACAGAAGAAAAGCCATGATAAACAAAGTTAAATATAATTAACAAATTGGAAGAAATGTTTATAACCTACGTAAGAGGCTAGGGATTAAAATACCAACTATTTCAAGAAGTCTTTCCAACTAACAAGTATAAACATTTTAACAGCAAACAACATATAGGAAAAGCCAGCCAGCCAGCCAACATATGGAAAAATGTTTCACCTCATTGGTAATCAAGTCACTGCAAATTAAAATGACGTAGGGAAAGCTGTTCTCGCCACCAGAGCGGTAAAAATGAAAAGCTGGGACATGTCGGCTGCTGGCCAGGGTGTCCCTCCCGTGCAGGGGGGCAAGTTAATACGTCCGTTCCTGAGGGAAACTTGGCAGATTTCGCAGATTTGATCAAGTCTGCTGGGAAACGGAGTCATCTATAAGGTGACAGTCACAGGAGGGACAGCCCATCACCACCTTTGCCTTATGCGACTGGTTGGAACCACTCACAGGTCCTGCCCACACTCAGGGCAGGGGCTGGCCTGGGGCATGGACACCCCACCTGTGCAGGCTGTGTGGGGTCCGAGGCATTAATAATTATGAGGCTCTTCTCTTAAAGAAGCATGACGCCTGGGTAATGAGAGGCCCCGAAGTTTAAGCCCCAATAGCTTTATTATAACCCTGCCCTGGACCGTGGTGCTTCAGTGAAAAATAAAAAAGCTCCCGTTTTCCTATAAAACTTAAAATATTAATGCAACTAAGAATTTCAGGTATAGATAAAATACAAACTGGAAAATGCTGGTGGAGGAAAATCTGTTTAAATGATTTATTGGGGGACTGACACTCTATGCCAGACAAAGACACAAAACTATGAAATGTAACGATACCAGAAAGTTCCACTGGAAGGAAAAAGCAAAACCATCAAAGTCGATCTTATTTCTAGTTCTATACGTAAGAACAGTCAATGGACAGTCTATCGATCGGTCAATCTCTTGATATTTTAGGTTTTCAAAGAGATTGTAAACAGTTGTTTAGGCAACCAGACGCAAAATGCACTAGGACCGTTTCTTCTAAAACCATCGCTCGACGGAAGGAGACAAAAACCACAGAAAAACCTGGAAAAGCGGAGTCTCCTCCACAAGCCGGAGCAGCAGCGCCACACACCTGTCCTGTCGTAGGAGGCGAGCTTTTTCCTCCTGGCTTTGGGACACCCATGAGCTGGGTCCTTTTTCCCCTTCGCCGGGTCCTTTTTCCCCTTCGCCGGCTCCTTCTTCTGGGGGGCTGGCTCTGGGGGGGCTGGCTCTGGGGCAGCATCTTGCTGGGGTCTGCTCCCCTGGAGGTAATCTGCAAGTACAAGCGCTGTGACCCGAATGGCCTCGATGAGCCGCAGACACCGGGCAAGGCCGCGTCCCGAGCGGCTCGCTGGGCATTCACACAGGCCCGAGTCCAACACCTCGGTCCCCAGCGTCACCACGGCTCTGCTTTTGACTTTGAAGTCACCTGTCTGCCTTGCTTGGCTCACCTTTGAAATAAGGGCTGTCACAGTACAAACCTCATAGGGTGTGAACAAAGATTAAATTAGTGAATACGTTTCAAGCACACCATAAGTGCTTACTAAGGTAAATGTTAGTTATTGGTTTTATGNACCTCATAGGGTGTGAACAAAGATTAAATTAGTGAATACGTTTCAAGCACGTAAGTGCTTACTAAAGTAAATGTTATTGGTTTTATTATTACAAAATGTGAATCCTTATTTGGAAATACATACCCAAAGCCTTTTTACTCATTGTAATTTGGTAACTGAGAATGTTCACCCACCTTTAGGGTCTTTACCTCGGCGGGGGGGGGATGGTATTCTTGAAAGGGTGACGTGAACTGTAAATTGCTACAGGAATGTCAGATATTCTCAGTGGTGGCCGTGATATCACTGCTGTTATTTTTAATATTATGATCAGCATTTAGATTATGTTCCCTTAAAAAGGCAAGGTTTGTATTTAAAGATACTGCTAATTGCTATGACTAATGAAATTAGTCAAGTACCAAACCTTGTATTCTGAAAGTAGTAAACTCTGGTATTTCAATATCTCTCACTTATTACCTTGATTTAATGTCACGAAACACCTTTTCATCTCTATAAAAGAAAAGGTAAATCCACGTGCCTGGATAGTAGTCATCTTGATAAACTTCTGTTTTTTCTGACTTCGAAGATGCGGAGAATGTTCTGTACTTCAATGTCCCCTTTTCTGCTGTTTTAGCTGGTTGGTTCTCTGATGGTGTGACATATTTGTAATTTTGCTCTTCATATTTTAAAAGTCTACTATGGCAAACAAATTAAAATGCTATGGTTAACATTCTCTGCAACTTAAAAGTCTAAATTGGTATTCTCTACTTTACAATACAATATCTATCCTTTCAAGCAATTTTTGAAAGGCCCTTTGATAAGCAACCTGAAACCTGGAGAGTCTATTTAAATGCTAAACAAGTCCAAGTGATATTATCATTAAAATTTTAAAGCTGGAAGGGACTTAACAACCCTCATCTAATGTTAAAAAAGAAATATTAAGTTAGTGGCAGAGTAAGCGCAGAATAGTTTTCTGCAATTCAACACCCATAGATTACCCTCCTTCACAAAACAACAAAAGCAACCTCAACAACCCATATCAGGGTTAAAACCAAAACCTTTCCATAGTACATCAGCCACCGCTCTCCTTTGTAAATGTTGGAAGAACCTCATAAGAACAGAACCCAGACTCACTGCCTACCACTGACTTATGCCACGGGCCACATGTTTACAAGGCAGAGCAGGACTCACGGTTCTGGAAATCCTTACATACACTTCTGGGTGAAAAAAATAGCCCTTGATATATTCAACAAAAACACGTGAAGAATATTTCTCTTCGAAGACAGACAAAGCACTTCCCGGGACTTTTCATAGACGGCTTTCCTAGGTGCTCCCAGATCCTTCCCCCGAGCTCTGCGAGGCCCCCCTGCTTGATAAACACTGTGAACACCTTCCTCTTTGGTGAAATATCCACCCATATACTTTGTTCTTTTATTTTCTGTGGGGCTTTTTGCACTGAATTATTTACTGTTTTCTTTCTTTTATTGATCTGAGAAAGTTCTAAGTTTTTTTTTCTAGTTTCCTTCAGGGGTCTCCTTTCATCCATGAGCTATTCATAAAAGCTTTTTTGCTTTTTTTTCAGATATTACGTTTCATTCCCAAATGGATGGGGGTTTTCTCCTGAACCTCTTGGGACTGATTTCTGGTTTCTCCATCTGCTCTGAGCTCCCATTTCCTACCCACATCAGTACCCAGAACTAATCGCTGTCTCCCTTCCTGGGATTTCTCAAATGTTGGTTAATCCCTCACATCCATCAACCTCTCTCTTTTATTGGCACATCCAAGGTGGGCGTGGGGGAAGGAGCCAGCGGCCAGTGGCAATGTGCCTGTCTTGCTAGGTCCCACTCCCCCAGAAAGGAAGGTTTTCTAAACTCCAGAACCCTCGCCAGTCCTCTTAGGACACTTTACATTTTTCATCATCACACTGACTCACCAGTAGCCATAGATTGTTGACATTTTAACTTTATTATATCTTATTTTACCTTCGTTTTCTGTTGCTCTTCTCCGTGTTCACGTCTTGGTTTACTGGTGTCGAATCAATGGGTATATAAGCTGCCATATTTTTTTTTTCTGAATACAACTATAAAGTACTGGGCTGTAAAAAATATTTTTTAATATTAAATATTTTAAGTCACAGCTATGGCTATAGGTATTCAAAACGGCACACACACAGTTCCCAGCTTCTCAGTAGGCTTAACACCCCCAGGACCTTCAGGTGTGGCTTCTGCACAGTGTCATTTCCACACCCTTCATCTGCTTGCTATGATTCTCAGGGCAGTCTCTGTAGCCAAACTTCCTCTCTAAGGCAGTGTTTCCCTTCTTACGTTGATCAGTTTATAGAAATGTAATCCTCATTTACCTTATTGAGGATAATGGTAAGTTCTGAGACAATGTCCTCAAGGGAAATCGTCGGAAAGAACTCAGGGAAGCCAACAGAACAGGCCGCCGGAGCTACCGAACCCATCTCGCCACCCACAAAGTGCCAGGAGGCCACATCCACAGCCACATCCTGCCGGAATTATCTATCGGACAGAACAGGATGGAGCCAAAGGGGTGGGTGGTGACATACGAAGAAGACAGGGTCTCCTTCTGATCAAGGAGAGAAACCCGACAAGATACAGAAAGGCTCCAAATGAAGAGGAGGCCCTTGGTGGCAGTGACTCCAGCTAAAGAACTTAAGCCCAGGTTCAATGAAAGGTAGAAACAGCTTCAACTGGCAAGTGAGGAGCTTCAGACAAACCAAGCGAGACGGACAGAAAGAGGCCAGGGCAGGATGGATAGTGGCGCAGGCGGGTCCCTCACTGCAGCCAGCGACGCAGGGCAGGACCCTGGAGCCCACACTCAAGAAACTGACGCTGAGAGAGAATCCCACTGGGCGAAAAAGCACCTGAATCAAGTCCATTCTGGATTTGCAACAGAGTAAGAGGCGAGCTGGATTTTTCTGGGAAAAGGCCAGAGAGAAAATATTTTAGGCTTGTGGGCCAGAAGGCAAAGATTAAAAAAATTAAATATTATTCACATAACAAAAGAGGAAATATATTTCCACAAATGTTAAAGTGAAGAAATCCAATATATGGTAATAATTGAGTACAACTTTTTAAAATACAGGCCGGGTAAGTTTGGGAGGGAGGGGGAAAGGGGGAAAAAATAAATAAAAATAAATAAAAAATAAAATAAAATAAAATTACAGGCCTATTAATGACAAAAACAGAATGCATCTGAGGGGGATAACATGCCACTTAACTGGGATTCAAAGTTAACGCTACCTGTTAACAAATCCCTTTGTGAAAGCCGCTCAGCTGCGGACCATTAAAGAACAGGTGGGGGGCCCCGATGTGACCCACGACCCATCACTTGCCAGCCCCTGCAATAGAGCCAATGTTAATCCCAGCATCTGCTTCAGCTTTGGGATGCCTCGTATTTCATGCCATCGCCATTACCATTGAACGGCCAATAAACCGAAGAAAAGTGGCTCAGTCTCACTATTAATCAAACAGTGTAAAAAAATGTAAATGAGCTATTCTTTTTCCACCTGTCAGACAAGTGAAAAATATTAAGTTACTTCTCCACAGCAACATCCACTTCCTCAGGGAAAGAAGAGGGGCATAAGAATGTCATACAGAGTGGGCCAAATGCCACATAAGTATAAAGACAACATTTTCAAACGTGCAAAATTCAGGAAAGATATCGCCCGTGAGGCCTTTCTGTAAACAGTACATGATAAATTCAACCAACACAGAGATGAAGGAAAACAAACAAACAAACATGCTAATATAAACCCGTGCCTTTATGGTCGATTAATATTTGACAAAAGAAGCAAGAACATACAACGGGGTAAAGTGAAACTAGAGCACCTTCTTACAGCACACACAAGAACAAACTCAAAATGGATTAGAGACTTAAATGTTAGACTCGGAACCATAAAAATCCTAGCAGAAAACACAGGCAGTAAAATCTCAGACATTTCTAGTAGCAATATTTTTTTGGATATATCTCCTCGGGTAAGGGAAACAAGAGAAAAAATAAAAAATGGGACTACATCAAACTAAAGAGTTTTTGCACAGCAAAGGAAACTTTCAACAAAATGAAAAGACAACCCACTGAATGGGAGAAGATATTTGCCAATGATATATCAGGTAAGGGGTTAATATCCAAAATTTATAAACAACTTATAAAACTTAACACCAAAAAAAACAAACAATCCAATTAAAAAACTGGGCAAATGTTAGAAGAGACACTTCTCCAAAGAAGACATGTAGATGCCAATAGACATATGAAAAGACGCTCAACATCACTAATCATCAGAGAAATGCAGATTAAAACCACAATGAGATATCACTTCACACCCGTCAGGATGGCTATCAGCCAACAATCAGGAATGCAGCCACTGTGGAAAGCAGAACAGAATTACATCAAAAAATTAAAAATGAATCTGCCTTATGACCCAGTGACTCCACTCCTGGGAATTTATCGGAAGACACCCAAACATGGATCGGAAGAATACATGCAGCCCCGTGGTCACTGCAACAGCCAAGGTCGGGAAGCAGCCCGAGTGGCCATCAGCAGGCGAGTGGACAAAGCCGCTGTGGCACACTGACCCGGTGGATGACCGGGTAAAGCCGCTGTGGCACACTGACCCGGTGGATGACCGGGTAAAGCCGCTGTGGCACACTGACCCGGTGGATGACCGGGTAAAGCCGCTGTGGCACACTGACCCGGTGGATGACCGGGTAAAGCCGCTGTGGCACACTGACCCGGTGGATGACCGGGTAAAGCCGCTGTGGCACACTGACCCGGTGGATGACCGGGTAAAGCCGCTGTGGCACACTGACCCGGTGGATGACCGGGTAAAGCCGCTGTGGCACACTGACCCGGTGGATGACCGGGTAAAGCCGCTGTGGCACACTGACCCGGTGGATGACCGGGTAAAGCCGCTGTGGCACACTGACCCGGTGGATGACCGGGTAAAGCCGCTGTGGCACACTGACCCGGTGGATGACCGGATAAAGCCGCTGTGGCACATTGACCCGGTGGATGACCGGATAAAGCCGCTGTGGCACACTGACCTGGTGGATGGCTGCTCGGCCACAGACAGAAGGAAATTTAACCTCGGATGGACCCGGAGAGCACGATGCTAAGTGAAATAAGCCAGTCAGAGAAAGCCAAGTACCACGGTTTCACTTACCTGTGGAATCTAATGAACAAAATAACACACAAAAACCATGCTAATAAAGAAAACAGTAAGAGCATTAAACTTATTTAAATATAGAATTAAGTCAAAACAACTATGGATTCAAAATACGATAAAATAGAAATTCCTCATTCATTAGAACCATTCAGCAATTCAAATATCACACCTCAAACTTGGATGCAGCTGTAGCAGTTCTTAGAACTTAGAAATTAAAATTCAGAAGAGCAGTTAGTGCTTTAAAGACTGAAAAAATTAAGTGTTCAAGAAAGTGAACAAGCTCAAAAGAGGAGAAACTAATATAAGAGGAAACAAACAATAACCAAGGTCAATAAAATTAAAAGCTGATGAAGGAAAAAAAAGACACCACTGAGAAGACTCTCCCTTGCCCCACTAAGTCAACGACACCAGGCCAAAGAGCTTCACAGGTGAGCATGGTCGAGCACGCCAAGGACAGAAAGTCCTTATACAAACTCTCTCAGAAGCAGAGGAAAGCTGCTGATCTCATTTCTTGAAACTGAAATAGCAACGACTCCCAAATCCGACAGGCATATGCTCCAAAAAATGTCCAGACAGTAACGCTTATGAACATAAACGCCAATATCCTAAACAAAGTATTAGAAGTCAGATCCAACAACGTGCGTTGACGAATATATGTGAGCGATGTATCGGTTTATAGGTGAGTTTATTGCACGAAAGCTGGTACAATGTCTATGAATATTATCGTAATTATATTAGTTTAGAAGTCACATCTACATTAAGTCCCATATGTGCTCATCTATATTTGTGCTGTGTAGACATATGTGGGCACGCATATATCACACAACACGGGGTGGCCGAGTTTCTCAAACAGCCATCACTCGCTGTTGGGGACACGGCCGCACCCACGGCCTCCCATGAATCCAGGAGCCCTCACTTGGCCTGACGAGAGGAGGCTTGGGGTGTGATGGTGTACATTACAGAATCGTGCCCCTGAAAGCTGTATCATTTTATTGACCGATGTCACCCCGATACACTGAATGAACATTAAGGAAAGGGGGGCTGCCCCCGCACTGGGAAGGGGAGCCCCTTCAGGGCAGAGGCCTTTGCCTGCGTCAGGCCTGGCGCAGGGCGGGTGCTCCACCAACTCCTGCTGCCTGATTAGTGAAGGTGGGGTTCAGAGGCATCCCCCCACCCAAGCTGGGGAACGACAAGACCCCCCCCATTTCCACTCAGCCCCCCAGGCCAACAGCAGGCCTGCCCAGGGCCTGTCTTTCCCGGGCCCTCGGCCCTGGGGCTCGGCAGACAGACAGAGGGCAGGTGGGGGGGG